AATATATTCTACAATACAGGATAGTTGAATAAAAAAATTCTATAATTATTACGTTTGGAGTCATAAAAACTATTTATACATACTCAATAAATAATATGTTATCTACTCAATTATAATAATCATAACTTGTTTTTCTTTTGCAATTTCTTGCAACTGCATCTTATATTAATAATTCAATAAATAGATATGCTATATGTAGAATATAAAATAACTGGTATATTCACTACTTACCAAAACTCAAATATTATTGAAAAAAATAATGTTAAATACATTTATAATATAAAATTACATATAAAAATATTGATCAATTCGACGCAATTAAAACTGCATACATAATTTACAAACGTTTTAATTTACAGTTACATTTAATCTTTAAATGAAATTATTAATTCAGATGTTTAGTTTACATTTTTGGGTTACAATTTAATATTTCATTTATATTAGTTTCTTTGAATTGCTTTGCTCAAAAACTAGTCATTGCAAATAAACAATTAAAGAATTTAAAATTAGTCAATAAAAAAAACTTATTATTTTATGAAATCATAAACACAATATATTTTAATTATATGTTTACTGTCTATAATTTTAAATGTTCTACAAAACAAACACAAATTGAATTTAACTACGTATGTCGTTATTGAGTATCAAATATAAATGAAATAATGTGCTACAAAAATATTATTAATTATATATTTGTTAAAAATATCGTCTAATTGATTAATTTCTAAAAAAATTATAAAATAAACTATTATGATGTGTACGTTTTTCATCAATTATTCTGAAATGCAGATTACTTTGCGTAACACAAATAAGTACAGCGTTTGAGATTAATTATAATTATTATCATCATTTAATTAATTAAAAAAAACAGATCCTTTGATTATTACAGCCATTGTGTATTAAATGTTATTGTAATTTATGATAATTAAAACCATTACATAAATAGCAACTTTCTAAAAGAATGATCATTCTATTGTTAATCAATTATTTTATATTTTAATTAGAAGATTGCTTATTAAAAATTTTACATCATTAATATTTATGTGAGTAATATATATTATAAAACCTAAATTTATATTAATAGTTCCAGATGATTGTAAATACGTTGTATAATTATTGCTATATTGTATTGTGCGAATATCTAATTTATACTTAAATAAATTGAAATAATTTATATAATAAAAATTATTAAAAAAAAACATTAAAACTGCATTTAAAATGATGTTTATTATTATCATACAAGTGAAACCAATTAAGGAAATCAATTGACATACTTTTAAGTAAACAATTTAAATGAATTTTTCATTAAAAACGAACAAACAAAAAAATACACAAATATATAAAGAAGGCGACTAATAGTCGAATAGTTAAGTCGCCCTACCCATGCGTAAGTGGTCACAGGCTCAAATCCTGGTCAAGCCAGGCCCTTTGTGAGCCCTCTCGGTGCTTACAGCAATAGGGCCATCGTTCATCACAGATGGACAGTGAAATGAATGAGGTTCAGCATATGGATGAAACAATAATAATGAAAATCTACTTTAAATGATATCCTTGAGATAACTTAGAACTGATCTTGTTTTGTTTGAGTGTTATAGTTTTCTTCTGATATCTAAAAATTTTTGCGAAATATTTAAATCCATGTGACAAGTTTCTTTTTTTATACTAATTCTGCTATTGCAAAATTATTATTCATTTCGTTCGACTTTCTAATTATTATTAATATATTCCAATGAATAAATTCAATTTCAATACCAAAATAAGTTAATTTTAATCATTTCATATTATATAAAAAAACAACTGATTATTGTTGAAATGCAAAATTATGTAAATAATATTAGAAAAGTATGTTTTGTATCAATTTATTTTACATATTTAAAACAAAAATAAATAAAAAACTACTGTGTTTTAAGTTTTTTTTTTCGGATAGAGCATATTCGCGATGTTCTAAACTATTTTTTTATTGAAAACAATTTTGATTGAAGAAATTAACTCTGAATAAAAAGAAAAATAGTATTAAATTATTTAAATAGACAAATTCAATACCAAAAGTAATTGTTGTTAATCATTTCAGTTTTAAGTTGAAAAAAAAAAACTTTTTATTTATATTCATGAAATGTAAAAATAATGTAGACGATTAGATAAGTATTATTTTTGTTTTTTTAACTATTTTTTTTGTTAATTTATGTTAGAATTGATTGACTTATTTTGAGAGTTAAGACGATTAATAGCCGAATGGTTAATCGAACCCTTTGTGAACCCTCTCGGTGCTTGCAGCAATAGGGCCATTCATCACAGATGGACAGTCAAATGAATGAGGTTTCAGCTGAAGGTCCAGCCAAGTCGATGGACAATGACAGTATTAAGAATAGCAGCAGATTCACAGTCAAAGGAAATAGTGGAGACGCAGTGCATCAATATACTACTGATATCCAATGAATAAATTCAATTTTCGATACTAAGATTTTATTCTAATAGAAGATATTGAAACCAGTTGTTTTTTTTAAGAAAAAACTAAAAATGTTTGAATAAAATAATAGTTACATTAAGTATTTATAATATTTATTGATATAAATATATTCAACACTTCATTCAATAGTTTTTTTTTCAATTAATAATTGTTAATTGGATTTACTAAAAAAAAGTTTTATCATTTATAATATATGCCTCAAATGTTGTTTGTTAAAATTGTTTTTATGCGGTTCTTTGGATTACAAGATTTTCCTCTTGAATTTCACTAAAAACAAACAACTGCAACTTCTTTATATAAACAAATATTTCCATAAAAACAATTTTTACAGATTTCAACTCTAGTTGAAAAACAATAACCGCACACTTAAATTTACATCGTAAAGCGCGTTTCTTTTGTAACGTTGCAAATAATGCACAACAATTATTAAAGATTATATATTTTATTTTATAGATAAAATATAAATAAATAATAGTCATTAAAATTATTAACAATAAATGAGTACATACATACAAGCTAGTAAATGTTTTTTTTGTAGTGCTAAAAATAATAATTATCTAATCTTAAATTGCAACTATTTTTTTTATTTGTAGATTAAAAATAGTAATAATAATGGTCATTAAATAAGTAATTAAGATAAGTAACAATAAGCATATATTTAAAAACGAACTTAATAGCGGTAAAAATGACCATTTATTTTTTGATTTAAATATAAAAATACAGAAATAATAATAACGTTAATTACAATACAGCAATACCTCGCATAGTGCAGATAATAGGTTCGGTCAATAACTCGCTCTGTTTAAAACCGTATTTACGATCAATTATGTACAAAATAAATAGGTTCATGTAGAATTTTGTTAGAATTTACTTTTATTTCGCATAATTAAAATTTAGTTTAAAATTGATATAATGAATCCATGGCATACTTTTATTAGTCACTTTAAAAATAATGATTTTCCATAATTAATCTAAGATAAAATATTACTTTTTACTGATAAAAAAATTCTATTAAACTATTTTATTCTAATGATTTTTTTAAAATTATATATTTAAAAAACAATTTATTATTTAAATTCATAAGATATTTGTTAAAGTTATTAAAAATAACCCTCGATTTTTAAAATTTTATATATTTTTTTAATGTGACATTCGTAATTTTTTTTTGAATAGAATATATTAATTCCAGTTTTTGTTGAAGAAAAAACTCTTTATACGATTTTTTTTATTAATAAAACCTTTGAATAAATTAATAGCAACATTGACTTATTATTTAAATTTATGACTTATTGAATTCATTAAATGTAAAGACGATTAGATATGTATGTTTTGTAAGAATTTAAGTGATGTGAATAGTTATTTTCAAAATTTTACATATTTTTTTTATTGAAATATTTAAGATTTTTTTTTCTATTAAAGGATATTTACTTTTTGTTAAAAAAAGTATAAGCGCATAATAATGGTTATCACTGGTTATCAATTGTACCTAACAAATTTTTATATATATAGATAAAAAAGTAATAATAATAACAGTCATTCAAATAATGAACAATAAATACATAATTAAAAAATGTGTTTTTAGCCTACTTTTAGCATAAGGATAATGATAATTATTAATTAAACTGAATTTAAGAATTTTTTAAACTTTTACTTATAAAAATTTAATAACATCATTAATTATGATAAAGGAGCATAGGTGGATAATTAAAATAAAACTCTATTTTTGAAGAGTTAATTATGACGATTAACAATACACTCATAATTTAAAAGGGGTCATTAAGCCTTGTTTTTCTCGCATAATAATTATCTATAATTAACTACATCTAAGATACATTTTTACATTTTATAGATACAAATATAGTAATATTAATGTATCATAATTTCTTTCCCATCAATAACTCATCATTTAAAGAGTGTGTAATCCGTATGTGTTTGTCAGCTGAAAAAATAATTAACAATAATTAAAATAAATTTATTGCGTTCATTTCTGGAAATTACTACGTTGCAATTACCTACGAATACACACATAATTACATATATAATAAGCTGGGGAAATACAGAAATTTACATGTGATGTAAAATCAAAGCTAATCACGTTTTGATTAAATTTGAATATTTGAAGAAGAAAAAATGAAATCTACGAGAATAATTATGTTTGTGACTGAAAATATGTCAATGCTTCTATTAAACCAAGTACATTTTTTGAAACACTTCTAACCTTTTGCGAAACACGCATAGCTTAACAAAATTGTGGAACAAGGACTTGCAAGATTGATTATTAAAAAAAACGAAATAATAATGAATGTATTAATTGCATAAGTAAATTAAGTATTGCAGAAACCGCAGATTTTCAATAGTTTTCGATTTTCCATTTAAAACGTGGATAGAGGTGCAAATTATTATAAGTTATTCTGAAATGGTGAAACGTCCTTAATAGTTTATTGTTGTTGTATAATGAATTAGCGCGTCACTTCACGGATGATTGTGTGAGAGGATACATTGATTAACTTGTATTTTTCTGTTTCCACTAAAGAAAATGGGATCAATTCCTCATCTTTCGATACTGAAAGGCCCGAGCAGATCGTTGAAATCTGAGACGAACTTGTGCAGATTGTTCGAACAAGTAGCAGTCGGCGTTTCGGAAAAACCGGCTTTGGTTTTCGAAGGTAATTTTAGTATAAATATATGGTGAATTTGCTAAATTAATATGTTGATATTTTGCATTTAGATCTCGGGGAAGTCAAGAAGACCAGTTACCATGACCTGAATGCAACTGCAAATCGCATTGCTCGCTTGATTAAAGCGACCATCGTGGATAAGTCGATTCCACGCAATGCCGATGGAGATTACATAGTGGCGATTTGTATGCAGCCGAGCGATGAATTAATCTCGGTGCTTCTGGCCGTTTGGAAGGCCGGTGCTGCCTACTTGCCTCTGGATCCGACCTTCCCTGCTTCGCGCATCGAGTATTTCGGATACGCTGTCACGAAGGTTAAGGCCGTCTTGAAGATGCCCACTTGTTCAGTTCTGCTATATGGGAAGGCCTTGAACTGCCATTGAAGTCTGTTAAGGAGCACGTTGTGTGGAAGACGAACGCCCTTCGGCACTCCCGTGCTTCCTGAGGTGTATAGAACGATGGCCAAATCATCTTTTTCTGAACTTAAACGATCCTCGAGATTTCCAGAATCATACTCATGTGATAAACAGAACAGTTCCTTCGCAGAGAACTTGGAGACGGCACCAAAACTCTCGTCCTCATTCTCGTAGATCACCAGAGCCGGCTTGGATTCCCGAAGGATGTG